GGATTTCATTTTTTCCAGATCCCCTTTTGTTGCCAGTTCAGTGGGTCCAGGTGGTTGAGTATCAGAGTGTTCCATGTCATTTCCCTTTGTGGTTGCTGTAGGTGATCTGGAAGTCTGGTTTTGAGACTTATTTACATGTTTTCTCATTTCAACTGTGGCCGGGGGCTGTTAGCACCTCCACAGATTACCTCTTCTGAGCTGGGTGAGGTGGGACCAGGGCTGGGAGCAGGGGTAGGTGTGGTGATCCAAAAACCCTTTCCTGTGGGCTGGGAGTAGCCGGCGGGATGGTGGCCTGGAAGCCCCTTCCTCTGGGCCAGGAGTAGTGGGACAGAAGATGGCCCAAAAGCCCCTTCCTCTGGGCTGGGAGCAGTGGGAGTCATGGTGACCAGGAAGCTCCTTCCTCTGGACCAGGAGCAGTGGGACGACGGCTGAGAAGCCCTTACCTCTGGGCCAGGAGCAGCGGGACTCAGTACCTTGGTCTGGTGGTCTGGTGTCCTCTGCGTCTTTGTAGTGTGGAACCAGGTGGCTGCCTGTCTGCAGCGGGGTGATTCGGTGTCTTCCGGGGGACTCAGGACCTTGGTAGGGTGTGCACAGACCTTCCTGTGTGCAGTGGGCTGTTTCTGCATATTCCGCGGGACTGGGGACCTTGGTAGGGCGTGGGCAGACCTGCCTGTCTGCAGGGGGCTGGTTCAGCATGTTCTGTGCGACTCAGGACCTCGGTAGGGCATAGGCAGACCTGCCTGTCTGCAGTGGGGTGATTTGGCATTATATACTCCATTTTCTTTATCCATTCATCTGTTGATGGACATCTAAGCTGTTTCTACAGTTTAGCTATTGTGAATTGTAACACTGTAAACATGAGTATGTATCTATTATTGTGATATCCTTTTTTAAATTCTTTTGGCAATGTAACAATTAGGGGTACACCTAGAACAAGTGATATATCTGCTTTTAATTTTTTGAGGAACTTCCATACTAATTTCCTTAGTGGTTGTATTAGTTTATATTCCCATTAGTAGTGTATGTGGGTACCATTTTTCTGCATCCTCACCGGCATGTATTGTTTTTTCTATTCTTGATGATAGCCATTTGGACTGCAGTGAGATGAAATCTCAAAGCAATTTTGACTTGCATTTCTGTAATGGCTAAAATTGCTGAACATTTTCTCATATACTTATTGGCTATTATTACTTCTTTTAAGAACTGTCCAAGTGATTTACTTATTTATTGATTGAGCTATTTGTTTTGGGAGTTTTCTTGGTGTT